TTTAGGTTTTGATATTGACAAACCGTCGGGAACATGGAACAAAATGAAAAGATAGAAAAAGTTCTTTGAAGAAACAAAAAGCACAAGAACGGCATTGACGTTGCTAAAGATGGCGACATTGGCGCTTTGAAGACGTATTCTAAAGACTTAGGTTTTATTGTAACAAGCTCATTCAATTTCTCTACGTCATGGCTCAAAATAAAATATGTTTTTCATGCATCAAATTAATTTTTTCATAAATGGTTTTTAAGTTTCTAAAACCCATGGTTCTTTCTTAACCAAAACCATAACCATCAGTTATCGGCGTTCGGCTATGGCGTTCGGTTTTCGGCATTGGTTATTGGCATTGATTTTAACCAAATGGTTTTGGGTTTTTATCTTTGGTTTATGCTTCTGGACACATTTAAAGTTTTTCCAAATGATTAGTTTTCAAAAACCATAACCTTTGTTTTTCGGCGTTGGTTATCAGCATTCGGTGTTGGTTATCGGCGTTGGTTTTTGGCCTCCAATTCAATCAAGTGGTTTTTAATATTTTATGATTGGTTTTTACTTATGGACATATCCAAATGGTTCTACAACAAAAACATGTTAAAAACCACCTTTCGTTTTTGGTCTTTTGGTGAAAACCATGTGAAACGGCATAAACTTGGCTAGCCATGGTTTTTACCTTAATGAAGTGGTTTTTAAGTTTTTATACTTGGTTTCTACCTAAAATACATTATATAAGAGTTTCCAACACTTGGTTTTCATTTTGGAGAACTTTGGTTTTTGACATCGGTTTTCGGCGTTGGCTGCCAAACCATGGTTCTGGCAAACCATCCCAACATGCATGTCGGAAATCCCAACAGCGATGTTGGCCTTCAGAAGCCCTGGGCAGTAAGTTTTTGAACAGCGATGTTCATGGTTGAACAGCGATGTTTTCAAATGACCGTTGGGCTATTTAAGACAAAATCTTTCCATTTTTGAAAGTCAAACACCCCAACAACGATGTAGACTTCTAGACATCGATGTTTTGGTGACCGTTATCCATTTTTAAAGGAAAGTCAAAGCCAGAACAGCGATGTTCACTATATGAACAGCGCTGTCGGGCTAGATTTCAGCAGATCCACTTTTATTTGATTTCCACAAATCATGCCAATCAACCCCAATATTCTCCCAACCGTTGCACCTTGTTTTTGGGTATAAAAAGGGGTCTCTTGGGTCTACTTTTCACAACCATTCCTCACATATTTCATAGCTTTACATTGCATCATTCCATAAACTTTTTACATAGCTTTTTAGAGCCATTTCTTGAGGAATTGAGTGTGTTCTTGATCTAAATTAGTTTACTCATATTCTACTCTTTAAGAGAGTTTTTGTTCTTGAGTGGTTAAGTGTTGTGTACACTTTAAGGGAGGTTTGTTCCCTTGATTGTACGAAGGAAGGGCATATTCCTTCGGGTTGAAGTC